CATGCTCTCCTTTTTAAATAACCGCTGAGTTCAATTAGTGTTGCCTACATGCTCATAGGGTGGGATCATGCACTAGCAACCTACCAGGGTCCACATCCCTAGAGAAACATTTTTACATTCTAAACTGGGAAAAGGACAAAAGTTTGATAATGCACTATTGACATTATAGGGACACTAGAAAGCAAAAATATTGCTGGTATTAATTGAGCACTAATCTGTACAAGTCGGTACCATCCCTTTGGACGTAAGTTTAGCAATGTAGATTAAAAATTTAAACATATGCATACTTGGTGACCCAGAATTACATACCTCGAATTTCAAAATATTTAGTTTTATTTTATGTGTATGAATGTTTTGCCTGCATGTGTGTCTACACAACTTGCGTTGCCTGAGCTCAAAGAGGCCAGAAGGGGGCATCAGATCTCCTAGAACTGAGATTACAGACAGTTGTGAGCTGCAAAATAGGTGCTGTGAATTGAACCTGGGTTCTCTGGACGAACAGCCAGTTTTCTTAACCACTGAGAAATCTCTTCAGCTCCCATCCCTCAGATTTTTATCCTGCAGATCACTCCCAAACATAAATGACATAACGTTGGTTATTGTAATATTTTAACATCAAAAGGAAAAATATTCTAAAAGTCATCAGAAGAGAACTGGATAAATTATTTATGATCTATCCATAAGACGGAAGACTATAGCACTATGTAGAAAAACAGGTACTGATTATCGAAAATCTTGATAGTATGTGAGTTTTCAGAAGCTTTATGGAGATGTACTTCATAATGCATACAATTTTACCAATTAAAAATACAATTCACAGGGCTGTAGAGATAGCTCATTGCTTAAGAGTGCTTGGTTGCTCTTGCAGGGGACACAGGTTTAGTTCCCAGCACCTACATGGTGGCTCACAGCCTTCTGTAATTATTGGGTATAGTAGTGGCACACACCTTTCATTTTGGAGCCTGGGAGTCAGTGTCTGGCAGATCTGTGAGTTTGGGGCCAGCCTGCTTTACATAGTCCTAGGGCAACCAGGGCTACATAGTGAGATCATGTCTCAACAATAAAATAGGTTTAAAACTAGTTAAAATTTGTATTACGTGTATTTTAGCAAAATAAAAGCTAGGAAATCATTAATTTCCATTTTTTCCCAAGAAGAAAACTTCCCACTTTCCCAAATTATCCCCTCATAATGTGCTTAAAGAAACTGAATAATTCAAAAAAATATAAATTATTACTTGTCAAAAAGCCTTCTCTAATTCCAATTCCAGAGGATCAGTCACCTTCTTCTGATTCCATGGGTACTGCACACACACACATACAGACAAAACACTCATACACATAAACTCAAACTTTTTAAAATTGAAAAGAGATTTTTTTCTCATACAATATATCTCAATTATAGTTTCCTGGTCTCTACTCCTTCCAGTTCCTCCCCTCCTCACTTCCCATCTGAATTCACTTCCTTTCTGTATCTCATTAGAAACAAATAGGCTTCTAAGAGATACAACAAAACACAGCAAAGTAAAATGTAAGATGAGGCAAAAACTATTATATCAAAGTTAGACATGACAGCCCAACAGGAAAAAAGTCTCAAGAGCAGGCATAGGACTCAGAGACCTGTCAGGAGTTCCATAAAAATACTAAGCTAATTGCTGTACTATATACACCGGGGAGCTGGCCCTGAGCTTGCTGCTTAAGGCTTTGTGAGCTCACAGGCACCTTGCTTGTTGATTCAGAGGGCCTTGTTCTCCTAGTGTCCATCATCCCCTCCAACACACATGCAGGCAAACTACCTATGTACATATTGGAAATAACACCTGGCTAAGTCTTTGCCACTTATTGTCATTTGTCTTGTTCCATTTTAACTCTCTCTCTATTTTAACTCTCTCTCTATTTTAACTCTCTCTCTCTCTCTCTCTCTCTCTCTCTCTCTCTCTCTCTCTCTCTCTCTCCTCTATGTGTAACAGCTCTGGCTATCCTGGAACTGGCTTTGTAGACCAAGCTGGCCTCAAACTCACTGAGATCTGCTTGCCTCTGCTTGCTAGGTGCTGGTATTAAAAGTGTGCACCACCACTGCCTGACCATCTTTTTTTAAAAAAGTGTACAGTTCAATGAGTTTGGATGGTTTTATGCAGCCATCACCACTATCTAAATTCAGAATATTTTTGTCTTCTCAAAAACAACTGTACCCTTTAGCATCATTGCTTAGCTCCACCCCTGCTGTGTGACCCTAGGCAACCTGTAATGTGCCTTCTGTCTATAGATTTACCTGTCTATACATTTCATTGAATTGACATTTATTGTGTGGTTCTTTGTGTTTTCTCTCACTTAGCATAATGTATATGATGTTCATCTGTGTTTAAACATTTATTGGTCCTTCATTTTCTTTTCACTCTTAACAGGAAATAATATTATATTGTATGTATATATTGTCTCTTAATTATCTGCCCATGGGTTGATGGCTTTATAAATAATGTTGCAATGAATATTCATGTGCAAGTTTTTCTTTCATCTCTGAGAAAGACCAGGAGGGGAATTGCTGGGCCATATGGTACCTAGTTTAACCTTTTGAGGAACTTCAGTTTGTTTTCCAAACAGCTGCCCTATTGTACCAACAGTAGTACAAGAGCATTCCACTTTCTCTGATTTCCTCTGTACCTTCAAGTCTTGTTATTGACTTTTTAAAAACATCTGCTTTACAGTGTTGTCACTGAAGCCCAGGATCGCTTGTGTGCTAGTCAGGTATTCTTCCAATGAGATCTATCCTAAGTTCTTGTTGCTGCCTTTTTTTTTCTTAAAATGGCAGTTTATGAGAAGTGCTACATTCTTGTGGTTTTCCTTTTCATTTCCCCAATGGCTAAAGATGTTTGAGTGTTTGCTTTTTTGTTTGTTTGTTTTTGTGTTTGTGTTTTTGAGACAGGTTTTCTCCCTGTAGCCTGTCCTGGAACTTGCTCTGTAGACCAGGCCTGTTTCTGCTTATGAATGCTGGGATTAAAAGCGTGCACTACCACCACCAGACCCAGTGCTTTTGGTTTTTAATATGTCTTTTTGCATTTCTCTTTGGAGGTAGGGTCTCATGTATTCCAGGCTGGCCCAGATGGACCTTGAATTTGTCTTCATCTCCTGAGTGCTGGGATTACTGGCATGCACCGCCAAATCTGGTTATGCAGTGCTGAGGATCGAACCCAGGGCTTTGTGCATGATAGGCTAGCAGTCTACCAACGGAACTACTTTTCCAGCTCCTCTTTTAGTCAGTTGTAAATCTTTAGATAGTTACAGGTTAATACAAGATTCACATCTTATGCCCAGCTTTACCTGGATTGACATTTTCCTATTAAGGTTTTAGAATTCTTCTGTGTGTCTGATAGAAGTCCCCTATCAAGTAAATGAGTTGAAAAAATTCCTCCCTTTCTGCTCTCTCTGTGCTTCCTGTGTATGAGTGTCTGTGTTCATGGAGTTGCTAGACATCAAATCCAGGACCTCACACAAGCCAGTGAGTATTTAACTGCTGCTGAGCCATATCCCGAATTCCTCCTCCTCTTCCTCTTCTCCCTTCTCCTTCTCTTCCTCCTTCCCCTTCTGTCTTTTTTTGAGATATTGTCTCACTATGTAGCTCTGGCTGTCCTGGAAGTTGCTCTGGAGACCAGGCTGGCCTCAAACTCACAGAGATCCGCCTGCCTCTGCCTCCAAGTTCTGGCATTAAAGGTGTGCAGTACAATGTGTGGCTCAATAGTGTCTTTTGAAGTACAGTCGAGTATATGTTTTGTGGCTTTTGATTTAAGATCTGACATAATGTTGTTACTAAGTACAATAGTAAGGCATAGAATTGTTCATAGAAAACAGTCTGAAAGTCCAAAGTACGAAAGAATGGGTATAAATTGTTACAACCCTTTTAGAAGAGTTTAATGGGTACATGTCTTAGGGTCTTATGAATGTAAGCTGTGATGTTTGATAATATATATTACACGTGTAAGAATTGCACATATACATATATTGAATATCTGTGTAATGTGTGTATGTGTGTACAAGTGCGTGCGTGTGTGCACTGAGGTTCACATCCAGAAATTTGTGCATGCTGATCATGCTCTCGAACTCAGAGACTGAGATTTACCCCAGCTAACTGGGTACATTGTATGTGGGTGTGTGCATGCCAAAGGGCAACCTGAAGGTGGTGTTTCTCGGGAACCATCTACCTTGTGTTTTGAGACAAGATCTCTCACTAGCCTGGATTTCACCCAGTAGGCTAGGTTGGCCGGCAGTGAACCCCAGGGATCTACCTGGTTTTGCTTCCCTAGAACTGGATTACAAGCATATACCAGCATACTTAACATTTTTCCTTGGATTCTGGTCACTGAACTCAGATACCTTGCCAACCAAACCATCTTTGTAGTCCTTTAGATGCATTTTGATTTAATATTTTCAGCTAACGATGGGCTTGTTGGGCCATAACCTCACTGTAAGTTGAGCATTTGTACTCGTGGGGAAGATGGATGAGCACAACAATTACATGAAATAATGAGCAGTGGAGATGAGAGACACATGGGCCTGTGTGACTACAGAGGAAGGACTTCGATTTAACGATTTTAAGCCACTGTGTTCCTGTAGTTGCTTCTCTTTGTTTCTGTGAACTGATACTGTGGTCTATTTCTGCAGGCTGTGTTGTCCTCCAAACTCTGCTAAGAAGCTCCTCGGTGAACCGTTTGTCCTGAGACAAGCTGTCCCTGTGGATTTGTTTCCCCACACCCCACACTGTGAGCTGGTACTCCTCTTCACTCGATAACGCTAGGAGACAGCAGGCTGCTAAGGTTGAAGTTTCAGAGGCATCTGAGTCTGGCATGTTGCTGCATTGGAGACCATGGATATATCACCAGGGTAACCAGTCTTTGAATCCTCAGCAAGAAGAATTTAACTGGCCTCCTCAGAGGCAGATTGAACTATAGCTTGTCATATTCCTTTGGGATTATCCATATTTGCCTAGCTTTGAACACTCCTAACTCCTTGAACTTTTTACAGAGCAGAAGGGGCTAAGGAGATGGCTAAGTGGATAAAGTGCTTATTGTTTATGCCCAAGTACCTGAGTTTGGAACGCCAGCATTCACATACAAGTAAGAGGTCATAGTGGACATGGCTGTTCTTCTGGTGCTAGGAAGTGGAGACAGGGGATCCTGAGGGCTTTCCTGACTAGTCAATCTAGTTAATAAGTGAGCTCCAGGTTCAGTGAGAGACCCTGTCTCAAAACAAGGAGTTGGAAAATGAGATAAATCTCTGGCCTCTAAAAGTGTAATCACACACATACACACACACACACACACACACACACAATCATATACCACACAAAGCAGACAAAGTTATGTAGTAATTACAGGGTACTCGGGTTTTCTAGACTTTAACCTTTCTAGGAAGTCCTTTGATAATGTGGTTATGTCCAGGGCAGGAGAAATGGCTCAGCATTCACAAGCACATACCGCTCTTATAGAATCAAACCTAAGTTTGATTCCTAGTATTCATGTCAGGCTGCTCATAACTGCCTGTAACTCTAGGTCCAGGGGATCTGATGCCTTCTTCTGACCTCCATGGACACTGTACTCATATGCACAAACCTACACTCACCCACATGCAAATACACATTAAAAATAGTTTTAAAAAATTTTAAAAAGAAAATGTGGTTCTCTCTAGGAGCAATAACACCATTTATCTCTTACCTGTAGAAGGAGAACTGGTCAGGAGAAATACCCAGAGAGGTTAAGAAACTCTCACAGTAGGAGCTGAATACTTACGATTGTGCTGAGTATTATGGGGAAGACAGCACCAGAAACCTATAGTAATCCAGTATGTACTATAATAAAGTGGATATTGAAACTAACTATTCATTCATCTCTAGTCCATGAACTTTTCAGTTCTCTAGGAGTTGTCCTTGGGTGGTTAACTAACAATTTATGCTGTATTTTGAATACTCTAATGGTCGGAAGATAAGGAAGTTATGTAGGAAGACTTACAAAATAATAATCAAGTCAATAGGTAGTTAAGATTTTTCTCAGTTCTAACTGCTCCTAAAGCAGACTGTTTCTCAAAAGAAAGATAGCTATTAAAGCTTATATAAAATGTTGTATATGTGTATTTTTGAGGTAGGGTCTGTCTTAGTGTTTTATTGCTGTGAAGAGACACCATGAACCAGGCTAATCTTAGAAAGTGTTTAATTGGGGCCTTGCTTACAGTTAGTCCATTATTATCATGGTGGGGAGTGTGGTAGCTCAAAGGAAGGCAAGGCGCTAGAGCAATAGCCTAGAGCTTTACATCTGATCTGCAGCCAGCGGGCAGAGAGAGAGACGCTGGGTCTGGTGTGGGTTTTTGAAACTTCAAAGTCACTCCTAGACACCCACCTTCTCCAACAAGGCCACATTTCTTTTTTCCCCTCAGGAAGTTAATAGTTTACTAACTTCATATATTTATTTGTTTGTTTATTCCTAGCCTGATCAGTTTCCCCTCTCTCCTTCCCTCCTCTCCTCCCAATTCCTCCTCCTTAACAACCCCACTCCCATCCACTACTCCTGCTTTCTCTTCAGCAAATGGCAGGCTTCCCATGTATTTCAGCCAGCCATGGCATATCAAGTTGCAGTAAGACACCTCCTCTCCTATTAAGGCTGGATGAGGCAATCCAGTAAGAGGAAAGGGTCCCAAAAGCAGGCAACAGTCAGAGATAGACCCTGCTCCCACTGTTAGGAGTTCCACAAGAAGACCAAGCCACACAACTGTAACATATGTGCAGAAGGCCTAAGTCAGTCATATACAAGCTCCCTGGAGTTCAGTCTCTGTGAGCCCTTATGGGCCCAAGTTAGTTAATTCTATGGGTTTTCTTGTGGTATCCTAGGCTCCTCTGGCTCCCATAATCCTTCCTCCCTTGGTTCCACAGGATTTCCCAAGGTCTGCCTAATGTTTGGCTGTGAGTCTCTGAGTCTGTTTCCAACAGTTGCTGGGGGAAGCCTCTCTGATGACAGTTGGGCTAGGAATGATCTATGCGTACACAGAATATCATTAGGAATCATTTCATTGACTTTTTTGCCAGTCATGTTTGGTTCTATCCTAGGTCTCTGGGTGGTCCAGCCTCTGGGTTCTGAAGGCTACTCCTTTTAACCCTTCCAAACAGTTTATCAACTGGGGACTAAGCAAATATGAGCCTATGGGGGACATTAACATTCAAAGCACCACAGGATGTCATGTATTCCAGGTTGTCTTCCAATACACAATGCAGCCAAGAATGACCTGGAGCCTCTGAGCATCCTGCTTCCATCTCATGAGTTCTGCTTCAGTTACATGTGTGTACAACCATACTCAATTTTTATGTCATGCTGGAAAAGTGAACCCAGCCAGAACTTTGCCCATGCTAAGCGAACACTCTGTCAATAGAGGTACATTTCCAGCCAGTTTTTGTTGGTGTTTTGAATCAAGTTTTGCTTAGTCCAGACTAGCCTCAAACTCCTTAGATAGGTAAGGCTGCTCTTTACTCCTCAAATTATATTAAATTAAATTATGGATGTGTGCCACTACTCCCAGCAAATGTTGTGCATTGTTTTTGGAGAGACTTGGAAGTTCAAGAGCGCAGCATATTATACGTTGACAGTGCTGGAGTAGGAGGTCTACATAGGGAAGACACCAGAATAGGAGGCAGATATAAGGGAAAGGTTTGGGCAGTGTTCTTCATTGGGTTTTCCTGAGGAAAGACAGGGAAGGGACAACAGTTGATGATTGACTAGTTTCAGCAGTTTTAGCAGGCTTGGAGCTATAGGGGTGGTCTCTAGTTTGTCTGCTACCTGGCCCTGGGATGCTAAAAGTAGAAGTGTATTTATTGCCTTTCTGGGTATTCAGGGCAGTTATAGAAAGTATGATATAAAATAGTGTTTTCTTTTTTCTTCAGAGATGATGATGTTTAGATCTGGAAACATTCCTGAAGGCCATAAAATAATGGTTTTTTTTTTCTTCAGAGATGATGATGTTTAGATCTGGAAACATTCCTGAAGGCCCAAGTGTCAAAAGCTTGTTCTTAGCCTGTGGCACCATTGGGAGGTAATGGAGCTTTTAGATGATAAGGTCTAGTGCAGTGGTTAATGCTGTGACCCTTGTCACAGTTCCTCATGTTGTGGTGACCCCACCCCCAGCCATAAAAATTATTTTTGTTGCTGCTTTGCAAATAATATTGCTAGTTATGAATAATATATATATCTGATATGCACGATACCTAGTATGTGACACTTGTGAAAGGGTCATTCAACTCCAAAGGGATTGTGACCCACAGCTTGAGAACTGCTGGTCTAATGGCAGGAAGTTAGGTCATTGAAAGAGATATTGGGATACTGCTCCTTTCCTCCACCTGTCTTTACTTCCTGGCTATCATGAAATGATACATCTTTTCTCCACCATGTGTTACCTTGTCCAGCCCAAAAGCAATGGGTTAAATGATCGAAGACCAGAAATGTGAGCCAAAACAAACTTTCAAGTTGTTTTTAGGAATCTTGTTTCAGTGATGGAAAGCTGACTGATATATACAGCCTTGACCTCAGGCCTTGCTCTCTCTAAGAATTGACTAGCCCAGTGGGGAGGGGCAGAATCTTTAGTCAGAAGGTTAATCAAGATGTCAAGACAACATTGTTTGCAGAAATACACACACTACACAGGATAGTACATACTCATTTTAACATTAGAAGGAAGCCAGGTTTGGAGGCTCATGCCTATAATTCCAGTACTTGAAAGACTAATGCAACAGACTAGCTGGGAGTTCAAGGCCAGTCTGATGGACTATATACAGATACATTGTTTTGGGGAAAGGCTCTGGGATCAGTATTCTTTTTTTCCTTTAAATGTTTTCTTAGCACATATTTATTATACATCATGCCATATTACATAAGTATGCTTTCTTTTAATGTTGGAGTTCTTTTGGGGTTTTTTGCTCTTTGGGCTATTGCTTTTGGAGATTTCGTTAATAACTATATCTGTATGCTGATTATCTCTTCTACCTGCAAAACCTTCCCATACCATTCATGTTAGTCCCATTTGATCACCTAGACACTTTTTGATTCTACTTTTAGGTCATGTGTAATTATATGTATATTTAAAATCTATGAACCACATATAAGAGAAAACATGGTATTTGTCTTTCTAAGACTGGCTTAATCTGCCTAACATTCATTTGCCTGCAAACCGTAAAAGTATTCTTATTTATGGTTAAAAACATTCAGTTACCAATTTTTCTGGTTTTGGACATCAGTTATTAATATTCTTTACATGTACCCCCCATACATCTTGTGGTTGTTATGTGCAGCTAAAGCTGAGAACCGGTGCTATAGAGGTATGGCTTTACTTTGCCTATGTGTTCTTTGGACCAGCAGCTTTGGCATCACTTGAGCCAGTTACAAGCACAACGTTTCAGACTTCACTCCGCTGATTTAGATCCTCTGGGGCTGGCATCCAGAGATCTGTGTTTTACCATCACTTGCAGGCGATGCTGATGCACACTGGAGTTACAGAACCACTGACTCTCAGCCTTGGTTGCACAAATCACTGAAGGACCATTTATTACAGTCGTTTGTTTGTTTGTTTATATGTGTGTACATGAGTGTGGTGGTCAGAGGACAACTTGTGGGAGTTCCTTTTCTCCTTCTACCATGTAGGTACCAGGGATGGAACTCAGATCATCCAAGTTGGTGACAAACACCGTTACCTTCTGAGCCCTCTGGCTAGCCCTAAAGACCTCTTAAAACAGGCTCTTGGGCATAACATTTTCAGATATTTCTGCGTCATTCCTTATGAGTGTGGCCTCGGCACTGTTATTTTCAAGGTCCCCAGACAGCTCTCACATGTGTTTGTGGGGTGGGGTGGGAATCCTTGTCTCAGGTTTTTGTCTCCAAGATGGTGTTGATGTGATGAATAAAAGCACACATCAGGTTGTAGATATTCTTTCTCACTAGACCCAGCACGACTTCTGACTCGTGCTTTGTATCCCTGTAAAGCATTGATTTTTTTGCATGTCTTCCGTAACTGTTTTGGTGGGCGTGCTGCTTAGTTTTGTTTTTGTTTGCTTCATACCAAGTAGAGTAATGTGAGAAGAGGAACCGGCTATTGAAGAATTGCATTCATCAGATTGACCTGTGAGCATGTCTGTGGTGCATTTGCTTGATTGATCTTTGTGGGCAGCTCAGCCCACTGTGGGTGTTGTCATCATGCAGGTGGTCCTAGCTTGTCTAAATAAGTGAAGTGTGCAAGCCCTGAGAGCAAGCCAGTAAGCAGCACTCCTCTGTTCTGAAGGTCTCTACGTCAGGCTCTCCCTTGGCTTCCTCCATCTGTCAGCTAAAATAAACTCGCACCTCCCCAAGTTACTTCTGGTCGTGGCCTTTCTCTTGGCAATAGAAAACAGTCTAGGACAGTGGGTATGGGAGAAATGGAGTTCCATACCATAGTTGCTACTAATTCTAGATGAGCCATAAGAATTAATCCTCATACACTCGTGGGAAAAGTGAGGTCACTTTAAGCTTAAAATAAGACAACCATTTTAAGAACTTTTCCTCGATCTATTTCCTGTCTTTCAGTACTGGCTGCTTCTCATTCATCTCATTTTAAAGTTGCTGAAGGCGGGCGAGATAGCTCAGTAGATAAAGGCATTTGCTGCCAAGGCAGATAATCGATGAGTTCAATTCCCAGGACCCACATGGTAGAATAAGAGAAGTGACTCCAGCAAGTTCTGAGCTCCATGTGCATGTCTTCTGAATACCTAAGTGAATTTAATAAAAGAGGTCTGTTTTAAAAATTAAAGTTACTGAACTACAAAGTGCCAGTTTTGCCGCGGCTCCTTTTTTTTTTTTTTTTTTTTTTGGTTCTTGCTGGTTTGAGACAGGGTCTTGCATGAGTGTCCCTGGTTAGTGTCCTCCTGCCTCAGCTTCTCTGGTGCTGGAATTGCAGGTGTGAGCCACCACTGTCTGCTTTGGCCATTGCTCTTGTGTCAGGTTTGGAGTTTTTTAGCTGCCACAGTGGTTCACAGGCTTATCTGCATGTTCTAATCACTTGCAGTGCTTGGATCGCATTAAGTATATGTGTGTGCTCATGCCACCACTCCTTGCA